ATAACCTCTTTTTGAAGCATGAATAATTTTTGGTGTACCCCTTAATAGCTGAATACATTTTTTCTAGACAATTTCAGTTTAGGATTCTTTGTTTTCATTTATCCATTACAATTGAAAATTTTTTACATCATATTTTCAAAAGAATTTTTTTTTCTCCAGAATTAATTCCACAACTGATCGATTTTTTACAGTCTTTCGATCTGTTCCAAAATTAACATAACAACAACTTCAAGTGTATTGCGAGGTTCCCATAAGATTAGGGATTTTTTTTTATAAATTTTATATTGTTAATTTTGTAGATAATTTGAACATTTATCTGAAACTGGATAAGGATACATTCTTAACAAAAATTAAAAAATCTTTTTGAAATATATTATCAGTGGTGGATCCAGAAATTATCATAAAGAGGAGGGCACTGACTGCCTTAGAGGGGGCCCACTGCAGTCATGCTTCAGTGATTCCCTATATAATCTACCAATTTTTTTCCGTAAAAGGAGGGGGGCACCATGCCCCACCCTAAATCCGCTTCTGATTATTGGCGAATTGTATGTATCTGCAGAAGGCATATTCCAAAACAAAATTGTAAGAGTTGTTATTTTACAAATCAAATTAGGGAGTTTCTTAATAGGTTAACATGGTCATTTTTTTCATAAAAACCTTACAGTAAATTTAAACAAGGATACCTAGTCTTAACAATGCTCCTACTATTTTTTTAAATGTTAGACACCAATATTTTTTAGCACCCTATTAGATTTATTGAAAAATAATAATGCTGAACAAAAAATCTGCAGAACAATTAATTTTTGGTGATGCCTCAGCAATTTTTGCTACAATAACTTCTTGAATTTTAATACAGATATCAAAATTTGAATTTGTTTTAAAAGTCAATGTTGGCTAGACAAAATTAAAAGTAAATTAAGGCCATGGAAAAAAGATTGTTGGTTTAGCTAAAGCCTGTTGGGTCTGTTTTTACCCTCCAGTTAATTTTTTTTAACATATAAAAAAGGTAATACTCGTTCTTTAACTATCAATGATGCTTGTCTGACCATTTCTCAAAATAATGTATTATTTATTATTCTTCAGTTTAAAAAAGGTGACATCACAATATAGATCAGATATGATGTCAACATTTTTCTTGAAGACTGGTTGATATTTCGAACAACAATAATAAAAAAAATAAAGTTTTCTTGCCTGCTAACCTTTTAAAATTTTCTTGTGTTAGGGGAAACCAATATTCAATTTTCAATGGCCTTACCTATAATTACGAAAAATGTGGTAGTCTGTTATTGAACAATATTAGAGTGCATATTTATAATAGCAGAGCAAATTGTCACGACACTGTCAGAATGTGGCACCATATTCATTGACAAAATACGGAAATTTTTCAGTCGTTCCATTTCTCTTTCAACATGAACATGATGAATTCTTACGTGCGCAATATTTTGGCTTCTTTTCACTTCAAAGGCATTTAGCTGGTCTTTTCCCTTTACAAATGATGGTATGATTAATTCAGCCCTCTCGATGCTAATTCGTCTTTAATAAGAAAGCCACGGTCTATTAGGACAACATCTCCATGATGTATAAAGTCAAGGTAACCCGATTTAAGAGAAATTAATGTATCTGAAGTCCTCCCCCCAAATGCACGTGAAACAAAAGAAATACTTCCACACGGAACAATACTGACTAAAAACTTAATTGTATTGTGGTGCTTATAGTTACTGTAAGTACAAGATCTAGCTGTAAAATTTGATGGAGTCTCTATATAAACTTCTGTACAGTCGATAACAGAAACATATGGCAAGCCGTTCTCGTCAAAACTATGTTTAAACCATTTTTCGAAAAATTTACACACTGAGAATTAAAAAAAAACACACTGAGATTAAAAAACCTAAAAACACACACTGAGAATTAAAATTTACACACTGAGATTTCATAAAAACGCACTGAGATTACAAAAAATGAAAAACACACACTGAGAATTGAAAATTAAACAATGAGATTTCCAAAAGACACACTGAGATGAAATAAACTGAAAAACACACACTGAGAATTTGAAATTACACACTGAGAATATAAAATTACACACTGAGATTTGTGCGCACTTTTTATGCGCACATATCTAATTAGCATAATTAATCTGAATCTATTACAAGCTTAAAACAACTAGGGGACAGAACTCTTTAGTCCTTCAATTTGGCGCTAAATGTTTAAAAAAAACATTAAAAATACAACGTATAGAAAAACTACGTTATTAAGGAGGCTCGAGGGTATAAATTTTAAATTACAGTTTTTCCTTATAATTTGTTGATTGAAACCTCTTGACATATGGATTAAAAAAATGCAAAAAAATAGGGGGTCACCGACCATCTAAGCAAGTTACAGACTGCTAAAAAAATAGGGTTTTCCCCTCATAAATCGTACAATTTTTACAAAGACTAATAGGGAAAATTGCACCTGCGTTGCCTTTATCTTAACCTACTGAGAGAACAAAATTACAGATTTCTATTATACTTTCCATTCTAAGAGAGTAAAATTGGTAGTGAAGTTCAGAAAAAGCAAAAAAAAGTGGGGTCACCGACCTTTTAAGAGAGGTAGACCACCAAAAGTGTGAAACCATGGCAACCAAAAAAGGTTATTTTTGAAAAAAATCAACTTTTTCTCCCGAATGTTGGCCTAAACTGTATGAAATGAAAATCTGGTTATGGTTAACAGTACCCCTAAGTGATGTACAGGCCAACATTGAAGTTTAGGTCATTTTGGTAAATTCGTAAGGTCATAGGTTAAGGTTATGGTGTTCATGAACATGATAAATTTATGTTATTTTTGAAAGTTTTGATGAAATTTTTATGAGATCATTCGCTAAGTTAAATCAAATTTTACATATTATTAACTGTCATACATAATGAAACAAAATGTAAAACAAGATTTAAGTGGAAGGCGGACCTGAATGATGAGGGTCTGGAAAGTGGGTCCTTCAACCTTCTATTTTGTATTCTTTAATTCTTTATGTCATTATTCTCTATTCCTAAATTTGAGCACTCCAGGCCTTTATTTTCAATTTTTTTTTGGCGATTTTCTCTATTCTTTATATGTTTTGGCCTTAATTTAATTTGCACTTTTTATCCATTATTCTCTATGCTGTAGACCCCATCCAGAAACTCAATGATTGTCGAATTCAGTTATCAAAGTCACTATTGTTAGAATAGTCAGACTTATATTGTAGGGAACATTCTAGATGATTTTGAAGGAAAAGTACCAAGATTATATAGATTATAACGCACTGGGGAAAATGTTCCTTTATAGATCTAACACTGGCGGATCCAGAAATTTTCATAAGTGGGGGCCCACTGACTGCCTATATAATCAACCAAATTTTTCCCAAAAAGGGGGGATCCGGGGCCCCTGCCCCCCCTTAAATCCGCTTCTGTCTAATGCCTATAGGGCACATTATGTAACAAAATGAACTAGTCAACTAGATAATTAGATACCTAAAAAATGAATCCTCCACTTTTCCTCCAAGTTTGACATGGGAAACCTTGAACATCATTATAGTTCCATCAAAAAATAAAATAGGTGCATAATGTATTTTGAATTATGTTTCCTTGAAGACTTCCGGACTTACATGTCACATTTGGTTGTTTTCTATTAAAGAGTCAATGGTTTAGATTAAGATGTAGTCTGTGTCTGTCCCAAGTCAGGAGTCTGTAGTTCAGTATTTGTGGTTTGTTGCTGTATATATCTTTCATTTTCATTTATTGTTCTGTACATAAACCAGGCCTCTGATGATAAAAGAATGGATGGTCAAGGGTTAATCTATTTCATATCCCATCCACATTTGTGGTGGGGCATAAACAAATATAATGCGTGTTTCTACATAAAATACAAATAACAACTTGCAGTATAGGTGATATAAGTATTTATTTATGGACATATTTATGGTCCCATACATTAACTGATCCATATAACATTAAATCCAAAATCAATTAACCAATGAAATTGTTTAAAAGCATGGTTTGATTTGTGGCACTTATTTCATTCATATAACAAGACATTTCACAGTGCAATAGGGAGTGTAATTATCCTGTTCTGCCAGGCATTTAATGCAAATACCACCTTTTTTTTACATTTCCTTCAGAATACTAATTCTTATCTTGAAAGATAAATTAAAGACATAATTTATTCCTTAAAAATACAACTAGGCAAAAGGTAAGATACTTCATTTGCCAAAGAAACATAATTGGATACAATTAGACTGTACCAGTAATGAGTGATATCATTTAGCAATGCATCTGGTAAAGATTATTTTTCTCATTGACAAAAATACTACCAGAAATACAACTTTAAATATCTCCCATCGGGTTTCTATCAATAAGCTTTTAACTTCACTGATGGCCATTTTGAATTTCTACCACAATCAAAACACTTGTTTAGGACCTTGAAATAAATATATATCTACTTTTTTTTAATTCAATCTATAATGCTGTTATCAAATAAATAATCATTGAAATGTGTACTGAACTGATCCTTTAAGCTCCTTCCTAGAACCAATGCTAGTAGCTCGAACTGATCATCTTGCAAAGTTTGTCACTTAATATCATTTGTAGTTAAAATATAAAGCAACATGTAAATTGACATTTAGTTTTTATGTAAACTAGTGATCTTTGCTGGCTCTTATTTTGATTGGCAATAAGATAACACCACTTGTTCAATACCTTGATCGGAAAATAAATTAATGTACTACGTTTTGTTTCAATCCCTACAGTATTTCTTGAGAAGAAGGTTTCAATCAAGATTAACCAATGACAATTTACATTCAGACAGGATGGCTATCTATCTTTACCAATTGTCACCTAATCTTCAACAATTAAAAAGGACATTAATTGATAGAAATAATTTATCTGCAAAGTTTGATAAAATTCTGTTCACTATTCCCTAAGCAGGAGATAAAAAATAATGTTTACAGACAATTGATGACTAGTGATGGCAATTGCCCACAAGGTTTAAGCTGAAAAGATATAATATATTATTCAGTATAAAAACAAAGAATTATCAACTAGCTTTCAGGAGTAAGGAAGTCAAATATTTTTCGAATGACCTTCATGCAATTTGTGACTCGAACATTTCCTCTGTCAGTTTTTTCAGACAATAAAGCTTTTAATCCTTCTAGTCCCATTCTCTCAACAGAAAGTTTAAGATGAGAGAGCTTTAAGTTTGATTTAGAAGCCTTCAAAGCAGTCGCTCGTGTAATTGCTTTACAAGCAATGGCTTCATTATAAGACTTAAGATTGTCTTTCTGGACTATACAACCATAAGGATGACTTGCAGGAAATACAAATGAATCCAGATTGTTTAAGGCTTTTGAGGTTAATAATTTAAACAATGCTCTAGTGTCATCAACTGCATTGTGTGCACAATAGTTTTCACCAAGAAGTTGTGACACCAATGAAGTTTGAGAATATGATGGTAATCCTGGCATTATTTTCTTGAATAACTCCATGGTGTCTATGAATCCACATATGTGAGATGAAAACTCATTCCACATCTGATTTGCCTTTAAAGAATGGTACAAAACATGGCAATCAAAGCGTTTGATGTTGTGTCCTACAAGAACTGGCTTGGATGGATATTTGGAAAGAAATGTTATAAAATCAGTGAGAGCTTCATGTTGTAATTTATACGAAACAGGTTGTAAATTATAAAACATCTGATTTGCAGAAACTGTAATTTTTGTAATTTCTGAGGCCTGTATTGAGATAGGTTGGTTTGGAAAGATGTAACTGCTAAATTCATTATTGTTTGAAGTTGCAGCAATCTGTATTACATCTGATGTTCTATCTGGAAAAAAAAAATTGTTTAGTTTTCTTATTTCAATATTTCTCAATACATACAAAATATGTTACCTGCTAATTCAATAGTTTTAGCAATGTATGGGTTAATCTTATCACCAAAATGAACCGAAAAGGAAAAGAAAAAAACTAATTATTTTTTTCATGATTTATTATTCTAATATTGTGTTTACAATATCTAATGTTCACTTTTCTTTTTTAGTTTTTCATGTGAGGGTCTGTTAAAGCCTCCTGTGTGATACAGGTTTATGATTTTCATTGTTGAAGTCTGTATGATTGCCTATAATTGCCTACTTTCACTTCATTTTAACTTTGGGGGGATACAGTCTCATTGGCAATCATACCACATCTCCATTTTTTATGTAGACAGTTTAAGAAATTTGTATGGGCAATTTTCCTGCTGTGATATACATTTATCTCTAACTTTAATATTTTAGTGATATATATATAATAATATTATTAATTCGTATTTTTTAACTAATTTGATTCGTTTAGAGATAGTCACATGTTAAACTATATTTTCGAAGGTAGAGAGAAAACGGCGGATAGCAAAAAGCATATTGCACAGCAAAAAGCATATTGCACGGTTATTTTTAGAATATCTAAAAACCGATATACTTTGTGACGTCATGTAATAAATTTCATGATATTGTTAAAAGTTTTATAAAAAAAATATCTATGATCGATTATTTGAAGAAAAAAAATCTTCATATACATAAGATGTAAAAAAGTAAATGAAATAACAACTTATATGTTATTGTCTAGGAGACAATATGATATCTATAAAATTCCAACAAAATCAAAAAATCAAATCAGGATTTTGATACAAATATGGTCGGAAATTAATAATATAACAATTATAGCCTATTGATGAGGTCAATACAGGATATATCGACCCAAAGAAGTATATCGACCTCGGACTTCGTCCTCAGTCAATATACTTCTTTCAGGTCAATATATCCTTGTATCGACCTCATACAAAGGCTATAATTGTATAGTATTACTTCAAAAAGAAGAATGAAAAGCAGGTTCCATGTGCAATAACCAATATACAATGTATAAGCATATAAAGTTTTCATATAATTTATTTTATCATATACTTAGCATTAATATGATAGCTTTTGCATATGTGTAATGAACGGAAGTACACAAGCCATAATTTCCCACCCGGGCTGTTAACCCATATCAGGGGCCTCTCGTGCAAGTTACTTCCGGTATTTCCGGTATCGTCTGTTTAATTTTCCATTGTGGCGTCAGATATTTTTTATTATGACGTCAAAATTTTACGGGCACTTTTGTGATGTCCAGTAATGGCGGACAAATAGCGATAAGGTGTATTGGATCCAGTGGTAAATTCGTTTGTACAGAACCACCTGTTATTGAAAAACAGATGTTAACATGGCTAAATCCAATGATATAGATTCTCAAAATGATGATAGTTATAAGTACTTGCTAACAAATGCCATTGACAATTATGAATCATCTCATAGTACAACTTGTAGTAATAATGATCATAAAACTGTAAATACTTCTTTGCTTCCAAAATTTCAATGTTTCAAATTGCCTCTTTAGGGAATGGTAACATAAATATATATGGAGGTAGTGATGCTATTGTTGTACAATGATAGTGTATTTGTTGGATTCATAATTTAACTTCTTTATACAGTTTTTGATTGTTTTAGTTATTTCATTTGTTTATTTGCCTTTACATAAAACAATTGTCGGAAGTATATGATAAAGAGATTAATACATGGCCTTTTCCATATCGGCCCGGGTATCATCCCTCGACCCATATCAGCACCTCGACTACGTCTTGGGCTGATATGGGGGTCTCGGGATGATACCTGGGCCGATATGAGAACAATTTTTCTGTATATTTATATATTAACGACTTACATAGGCTTGTAGTTTCTAAATCAAAGACTACCAGTGGAGCTGTAGAAATATCTATCGGTATACATAAAGATGCATTCATTGGAGCAGGGATTTCTTCATCTAACTTCTCATTGTTCATTCCTATAACACACATCAAGTTTTGTAAAAACAAAATTGCAGATTTTAATTGTTATATATGGTGTAAAATGTGTTTGTACAAAAGTAAATGAAACATCAAATGTTTAAAGTATGTTCTATTTTATAATTTTGATAATCCTTATTGCATGTCATGCATCAATCTTACAGACCAAACAAAGGGGCCCTCCGCTAATCAATTATAAGTACAATGTAAGAAAGACAGAGAAAGTTTAAAAATCATACTTTGGTCAAATTTGCAATAAGTTAAATGAAGTCAAAGTTTAAATTCCAAGACAATTTAAAAAGTTAAGGATGTACCTATTTCACTTTCATAAGTTCTTCCTTCTCTTATTTCAACACCGGTACTTTTTCCTGATCTTTCTTTTTTTAGATTGATTCTTCTTTTTTTGTGCTGCTTTGTTTTGGCTCTTTCAGATTTTTTATTCCTCTTTCTATTCAATCGTATAGCCCTCTTGATAGTCTCATTCCCAGGTGACAATCCAGCTGCTTCACTAACCTTAAAAAATAAATAAATAACAACATGTATAAATTCAATATGAGGATCCCTTACAGAAATGAAAAGTTTGCTGCAATATTGCAACAATATAGCAGCAATATTGCAGCAAACAAATTTGTTTGCAAGAAGTGTTTGCAAGAAAGTTGCAGGTTGTCGCAGCTACCTGCAACATTCTCACAATGTTACTGCAACAAAATTTGTTTGCAAGAAAATTGCAGCAAGTTTGCTGCAATGTTGCAAGAAAGAATTTGTTTGCTAGAAAGTTGCAGGAACCTTTTCTTTTATTATTTAAGGAATGACTTTTTGCAACAACTTTGCAAGAAAAGTTTCTTTAATAATGTCAGACAATCAGATAGTTTGCACCAATATTTCAAGCATTTTAAAATATTACATATGATTATTTGTTTTAAGATTTAAGGTTCAAATAATACACAACATATTGTTTCTTTGAACATTTGGTTATGGATACTTCTAACTATCTAAATTTGTTGTCGTCATACTTTATTTTACTCAGAAATATCTGGATATTTGAATAATTTATTTTAAATAAATCTTCAAATAACAATGCTTATATTTTTAGAATTCCTAAACTGTACATCACATTTATATGATATTTTGTAAGGAAAGAATTTCAAGAATACTTTGGTATTTATTTCAACAAGTTTAATCTAAATAATTGAGTCATATTAATTTTTTTTCTACATGTATTATTATGCCTTTTTGTCACTTTTTTGTGACATTTTTCTATGAACAATATTTTTAATTCTAATATTTTCCATCAAATGAATTTAGACTCACCTGCAGGTTGTATTTTGTTTAATTTCTAGTATCATTATTTTAAAACTATGTATACACAAATTATCTTTCTCATCTCAATTAGTAATATGAGCTGGTGATAGAAATGTAATGTGCCATCTGGTTTCAATTTATCTCTGTGTAGTGGTAAAGACAGGAAGTACCATAAATTAATGTACACAGAGTTTGAGGCCAAATTAAGGGTAGAGCATTTCTTCTTTGTATATATTTCCATTATAACTTATAACATCAAAGATAAAAAAAAAAATATATATATAATTATTTTTTTATTATAATATATAACAAATATTCAAGATTTAGGCAATTGATATTTATAATTAGGGGCAAATTTCAAAGGGATCACACTGTCACAATACCCTAAGCAACCTTGATCAACATATTCAAAATTTGAACTGGACATGAACATGCATACAACAAACAAAGATGTCTTCTATCATGAACAAAGTAATATGAATTTTACAATGGATTTAGATCCAAGAGTTCCAATTAATTCTATTGACACTGGATAGTGCATATGATAGCCTTCAGTTGACATGACTCTTGGATTTAGGAAGATTGGTGTTTACACATAATTTGGATAACATCTTTTGGTAAGTACAATGGAGTTGAATGTCCACCATTTTGAATAAGTGCTTGCTCTTACAGTTCAAAATAGTGATATTCAAAGAGTTTTCTTAACTTAATAGAGTTGACAAAAGTATAAGACAATAGATTTATGCACATGAATATTATTAAAATTGTGTAAGACAGGAGATATTTTTTTAAATCTATTTAAGACTATATGTTTTAGAAAGTACATTACTTAAATTGAAACAAGAAATCTTCTAATAAAAGCAGTTTGGTATTAAATTAGAGATCTGTGATTTGACTGCCAATAAGAGGTCTTTCAACAAATGGCAACAATATTTAGCTTTTATATATACACAACTAATCACAAAAATTTTAAAGAATAGACAAGACCAATTATGTTATAGTTCAATGAAAAACAAATATTCAAAAAAGCAATAACAACCTAGTACTGGCATAAGGTTAAATGTATAGTAATATGCAATTTCTGGAAGGACTTGATAACTTTTAGACATTGACCCTTTAAGTGAAACAAATGCTGGAAAAATTGGTCTGTAATCATCTCTTTATAAAGAGTTATTTTCATTTTACAAGTCCAGAATTTACAATATATAGTAGTAACTTATATCTTTATATCTTTATAATGTTTAGTTATTCTTTTAATGTATGCTAAATTCTTCAACTTTTATTTTGCAGTATTTGAAATCAGAAAATTCAACTTTAAGGACAGTGAGTACAGAGAAACAGAACTAAAGGATACACAGATATGTAACACAACAACCTATAGAGGACAGAGAAAATTTTGTTTTATTATTAAATCATACTTTTTTAAATGCTTAGTTTTTAATTCCTAATTTTTCAACTGAAATTGTTGAAAGATTTGCTGCAATATTGCTGCAATATTGCAAGAAATTAATTTTCCTGCAATATTGCTGCAACATTGCAGCTAATGAATTTGCCGCAATATTGCTGCAACAATCATAGCTACTGATTTTCCCGCAAACATTTGCTGCAATATTGCCGCAAATTGTTGCGGCAATATTGCAGCAACTGTTTGCAAGAAAACTAATTTGCATACGAAAAATGAATATTTGCAGCAATATTGCCGCAAATATTTGCAGCAACATTGCCGCAAATATTTGCAAGAAGCCTTATTTTTCCATAAGGGATGGTCTTAACAGTTATTTAAGAAATGACTGTTCCTTTTTGTTGCCAAGTTTTATTTTGATGTAATTAAAGCATTGATCAAAGCACATTTTACATGAAGCACTTTAGGCTTTTATACCCTATAAAACTACAAAAATAATGAAGAAGGAACAAGGATGCGAGATTTTCTTGCTGTGTTGAAGACCCCTTAATGGACTTTGGCTGTTTTCTGCTTTGGTTAGGTTTGCTGTCTGTTTAACACATTCTCCATTACAATTCTAAATTTTATTTCTTAAAATTACACTTCACCTTTAAAATATACTTTTTGTATAGTGAAATAACAAATTTCCCTTATTTTGTTTTGAAACATTAGGGAGCAACCATTGAACTTCAAGGGGGGGTTATGGTCTGTTTGAGTCATAAAATATTTTTCATGCAAAGCAATTTTATTTACTTAGATGCTAATAATCAAACTTTTTTTTCTTCAAAACTTAACACTATAAGGTAATGGGGAAATCTGGATTCAGAATATTTTTTTGTCATAGTGCTTGAACAGAATATTTTTTTCATCAAACTTGGGATCAGAATATTTTTTTTTGGAAAAAACCATAAAAGTATAATTTGCAAATATTACCTTTGACACATAACCATATCCCTCATTTTTTTGTAAGACTGCTGCACTGACACGATAATTTAAACTTGAGGAACCAGAATAATGCTTATTTTTTGCTGCTTTGGTTGAGACCGTATGGTTAAAGCTTTCATTTGCTTGGGAACTAGCAAGTTTTGACAGTTTCTTTGATTGGCTTTCAATTTTTCCCAGAAACAATTTCTCTAGATCAGCTTTGAGGCTTTCAGATGTCAAGTCCTTTCCAAAGGGTAAGTTTGTGTGCCTGTATGATGTTCTGTCTTTTAGATAACCACACCATTTCATATCACAGGTTTGGTGTTTCCCATACATATGGTCAATCATCCCTCTTACTCCTTTTTCAATTTTTTCTGGACTGCCTTGGTTTTGTGCCAACATGTAGGAATAATTCTTGGTAATTGCATTTATTACCATTGGCGTCAACTCCTTTTGCTTTGGTTTTAGGCTGTACAGCTTTTTGGTGATATTTATGATTATATGATTTCTATCACTGGTTTTTACCATTTTAGAATTTGGAAGAAGTTTCTTTGCCCTGTCAAACCCAACAGAATCATCACCTGCCAGTTCATTAATTTCAATATTTTGTTCATGTACATCCTTCACCAACTGTACTACCATGTCTGGTTCCATGCCCTTTGCTGTCCCTGACCAGTTTTTTTTACAATTGTGTGGTATAGGTGGTCTTCCCTTCTTTTGTGCATTCCGACATATACGGCAGCTGGATATTCTGAGGGTGTGATGCACAATTTTCCCTGTTTTTCCCCTATCAGTGATGCCACACCTGAAAAGTTAAATGTATATGCTAATGCAAGTAAGTGTAAATATGGAGTAATCATGTTGCTATACTAGTAATTCAAATTGATTGTGTAATAATTCTTAAATGATTTGCATATCTATAAATACTTGAATTGGATTGGTCAATTAGAATTTTTCTCTTGGTTTACACTTAGATAAACCATGCTTCCGAAACTAATTTCATAATCAATTCATGCACGATACACATGCTTGCAGGGATCCTGTGATTTTCAGCAAATTGAGATTAAAAAACAAATTTGGCTTGAGAATTCTAAGGATTAATATCCATTTTTTCTAGAGGTTATTGATGTGTAAACCGGGGCTCTTACTCACAAACTCTAGAAAAAATGTGTTTATGAAATTGTACCACATGGTTCCATACCTCAAAAGGAATGTTGGGATTTATTTTGTGGGAAATGGCCTAAACCATTTAGGAATAAGGGACCAAAAGGTGCAAACAAACTAGGATGTTCTGGTTGCCTGACAATTACTTGAGTATAAGTCTATGGATCTCTTTGAAATTGTACCACAAGGACCCATACCAAACAAGAGGCTCTCAAGAGCCTGAATCGCTCACCTGTATTTCAGAGGAGAAGATTTTTAAATGTTAGCAAACTTGATGAACAAATTGTGTAAAATTGTCTTTAAAGGGCAATAACTCCTTAAGGGGTCAATTGACAATTATGGTCATATTAACTTTTTTGTAGATCTTACTTTGCTGAACATTACTGCTGCTTACAGTTTATATATGTCTATAATAATATTCAAAATAATAACAAAAAACTGAAAAATTTTGTTAAAACTACCAATTCGGTGGCAGCAACCCAACAATGGGTTGTTCGATTCGTCTGAAAATTTCAGAGCTGATAGATCTTGACCAATTGAACAATTTTACCCCATGTCAGATTTGCTCTAAAAGCTTTAGTTTTTTGAGATATAAGCCAAAAACTGCATTTGACCCCTATGTTCTATTTTTAGCCATGGTGGCCATGTAGTCGATTGATCAAAACTTCAGGTACAATTTATAAACTAGATACCCTAAGGAACATTTAGTTAAAGTTTGAAGGTATTTGGCCCAGTAGTTTCAGAGGAGAAGATTTTTGAAATAGTTTACGACGACAGACGACGACGGACGCCAAGTGATGGCATAAGCTCACATGGGGCCCTTCGGGCCCCAGTGAGCTAAAAGAAAGGTTGGGATTGATTTTGAGGTTTATGACCCTAACATTTTAGGGAATAAGGCCAAAAACAATACTTTTCTGATACTTTGTATAAATTGCTTATTTCCTGACCTATTTCCATGGGGTTTAATTCTAAGTCTTAAAAACTTGGGTTTGTTTAATAGAAAGAATCTAACTGTGTATTTATATTTTGGATTGTGATCCCGTGTGTAAATTGGTACACATTGAGGTCCAAAGGATCCACTTTAACTTTGTTTGATTTCTTAAGAAATATAGATTTTTTGGGGTTCTTTTATATGGTGATTCTCATATGTATTCAGATTTTTTATCTTGGGGCCAGTTTTCAAATAAGTCCACATTAAGGTCCAAAGGGTCCAAATATAAACTTTGATTTCAACAAATATTTAGTTCTTGATTTTTTTTGATATGCCTAATCTGTGTATTTTTAGATTTTATGGTTTTTCTGCCCTGTTTTGTAATTGGTCCACATTAAGGTCCAAAGGGTCCAAAATAAAACATTGATTGATTACAACAAATACAAATTTATGGGGTTCTATGATAAGCTGATTATTACCCTGTATTCATATTTTGGATTTTGTGCCCAGTTATAAAATTTGTCCGTATTTAGGTCCTAAAATACACTCAGTTTGAATTCATCCATTATTGAAATCTTTTGGTTCTTTCATTTGCTTAATCAAACCATGTAGTTAAGTTAGATCTTTTATATAAATGGACCATTATCATGATAATAGGTAAATGACTGACTGTTTTCACTCTGTGTCAGAACCTATGCTATGTCAAGTATTTAATCACAATCCAGAATCAGAGCTGAATTGCATAATTAATAGAAATTTCATTTCAAGTAGATTCATATTTGATAACATAGATTAAAAGAAGGGAATTACCACTTGAAAAGTCCAATTTTTTTTTTTCAGATCTTAGACCACATTCATTCTGTGTCAGAAACCTATGCTGAGTCAAATATTTAATCACAATCCAAATTCAGAGCTGTACAAAGCTTGAATTTGGTGTCCATACTTGCCCCAACTGTTAAGTTTTTGACATCTGCAGTCATACCAAGATGAGCATTTTATAACTAGTATGATTTTTTTTTAAATATTTGAATATTTGTACACTTAATTGCCTTTAATGCATGTACATTTTTTTTTGGTTTGTTTTTATAAGTGCACTATGATTTTATATGTACCTGACAAACTATTGTAAGCCCTTCCAGAACCTTTCTTCTGCCAACAAGTGTCTGTGGATGCATTAATACCTGCTTGTTCATTACCTTCTGTAAAAAATGGTTAAATTCATAATACAGTTACTGGAAAATATGTATTCAAAAACAGATCTCCAGCCCTAAAAACATGAACCAAAAGGTAAAACTTAACTACAGTCACTTAAAGTGGCCCAAGTGTTGTAGAGCTAAATTGTCCTTTATACATGAGGACTGTAGCTGAGAATTATCATTGATTTATTATGAAATGTTTTCACCGAAATAAACCTAAACACAAAACTCAACCATGAAATTAAGGTGATAGTGACACTAAGATTTAGGTATATATAACTAGAGGCTCCAAGGAGCCTGTGTCGCTCACCTGATATTTTTGTTTACAATTGATGCATGAAATAATGCAACCATTATACTTTTGCTTTAGTTTCAGAGTCAATAACTCCTTAAGGGGTCAATTGACAATTTTGGTCATGTTGACTTATTTGTAGATCTTACTTTACAAAGTTGTAAAAGTTAACGGACGACGACGGACGCCAAGTGATGAGAAAACCTCACTTGGCCCTATTGGGCCAGGTGAGCTAAAAAGGTATAGAAATAGAAGTACTTTAATAATCTAATTATGGAGCCTAGCAGATTTTAAATTTCATACCATTATTACAATGATTTTTCTTATGACAATGAAATAATAATGAAATAAATTACAACACAATAGAACAATGAATAGTTGTTGCATGCACATGGAAGAGAAAAGTTAATAGGGGAGACAATAAAAAAATATTAAAGGATTATTTCCTTTTGAACTGTACCTAATAATCTTTGAAGATATGTTGCTCTGAGTTGGATAAAAAAGAAGCCCAAACTGACAAGATATAAGGGTAGGTTTCTCCCATGTACATGCAACAACCAATTACTAAACATCTATGTATATAATATTTAAATTGCAAGAATTGGATTACCACCTTTACAAATTTGACTGCAGTTTAACACATATTTTAGGCATTAACATATACATGTCAATATATAAAATGACATTTGTAAAATATGTGTGCCATTGTATGTACAATGTACATGTATATGCAAATGACAGGATCAGGCCTAATTTTGTTATAAAATTATTATATTTAATTTTCATTCAAACCTGCATCAATGGTCATGGACTGGAAAGCTTCGTCAAGTAAAAACTTCCTTTCTGAAGCATTTGCCTGACACTCTATTATGTCTCCAACTTCATTTTCTCTTGACTTTAGTGACTTATGATGAGGACAATGGACATTCATGGCAGCTAGCAAATTTTTCAGCTGTGTTTCTCCTATGCCTGCATGAATCATACCTGATAATATAAAAAACATACAAAAAAATAAATGAACAATAAATTTAAAACACTAGCAAAATTATTTAAAGTAGCTATAATTATATAGGTTGGGGCATATTTTCTGTGTACATGTACATGTAGGAAAATGAAGGCAAACAAAATTAATTTTGTGTCTCCTGTGGCAATGAAAAATAGGGAATTATGATGTCTGACCAGGATAAAATGGTATGTTTTAAATTATCACACTACTGGCAGCTGATTTTAGTTCTAGTTGGCTAGTAAGTCTTGCAAATCAAGAGGATTTTTCATGTTGACCAATAAGATTGACATATGCTTAAAGATACTCATTATCGCAAAAAGTTTCATTCAGTTTCTAGTTGGCTAGAACATTATCAAATTCACCACCTCCTCATTTACCCTATATATATTTATGTAATACATATACCCATTTTTTTTATAATATTCTGAAGTCATTTCTTGTATGATATCAAAAATATTTTGGTTATCAAATTAAATTTCCTCAATTTTGGAGTTACATGTGATGACATCATTATTCTACTTTTATGCACCATATAGCATTTTGAAATTAAACAAAAAACATAAATCTACTCTTTCAATTTGAATGGTCAGAACTTTAGATAAAATATCTTTAATATTTAGGTACATGTATCAGCCCACTAAGCCAATCTCGGAATTAAGTATCTTCTGCACTTTTCATAGTTTATTACATACATACATTGACATATATTTATGAATGTATAAATAACCTGCCACACCAAGTCTGTGTGTTCATTACTTGTTTTTCTGCTTTTTATTGATCTGATGAGTTATAATTAAACCCTTTTCAACTGATTTTTATATTTTGTTCATATATTGCGCTGTTACAACACTGTCCCAGGTTGGGCACCTGCAAAAAATTTAACCCCTCCATATTCTGTATGTGCTTGTCCCAAGACAGGTGCCTGTAATTTAGTGATTGAAGTTTAATGCTGTGTAACATATTTGTTTTTTCATTCATTGTTAAG